GTAAGGAAGAAAAGAAAAAGACAACTGATGGAGGTGTCTTCGGCCTCTTGCCTCGTAACCTGCTGTTTTCTAACTGCTGGCTGATTTTCTTCCATTCTGACCTGATGACCGAACCATTTTATTCTGGTAAGGTGAAGTGAGGAGATGTGAACGAGCGTCATTGCACACGGTTAGAAACCGTAAGGGCTCTGCCACCAGTACGGACAGCTGATAAGAAACTGTCCGCCTGTGCCACAGTCCGCACGAAACTCCGTAGCTACAGAGACGTTACTTCATTTACCCCAGAGTGTTAACTCTGGTACCCATATCCTAGAGGCTGGGTGAACCCCTGGAACCGCCTGGTTTCGAACCCCGACCATAGGCTGCAACGGGACGCAGCTGGATTTTGTAGTTAAAAACAAAAACCCAAAGAGCCAGTGAAACAATTAATTTAACAATTTCAAATTTGTTGTATCTTTCTGACGTCTCTGGCTTGTGCCTTGAGAGCGCATTTAAGTAATTTCGTCTCTCTCTCCCCCTCTCTTTCTCTCTGTGTGTATGTGTTTTATTTTCTCTACATGCGATTTATCTGCTAATAATGGCTATTCACAGCAACGTCCTTTGTTTTTGCAGTGAAATAATTATGTGAAGCTGACTCATAATTTATGTTTGGTATGTTTTTTCTGTATTTTATTTTTCTTTTCTGTGTTTTACTGTTTTGTTTGTTTGTTTGTTTGTTTGTTTGTTTGTTTGTTTGTTTGTTTGTTTGTTTGTTTGGGATAAGGCAAAACACTACAACAATGAAATGATGGGTTTTCGAAGGTATACACTTTACCTGAAACTTCATAGAACAATGACTCACACACACACACACACACACACACACACACACACACACACACGCACACATGCACGCGCATATAGTGGGTTTCAAAAGTAGTGCCATGACTTTATAACTCATATTTTGAAAACTCCGCTACGGATGACGAATTGTTGCATGAAGCCGTAGATTTCTCACCTCCTTATGACTTTATGATTTACACTTGCAAATGTGCTGCTGTTTTCTTAATGAAGCAAATTTCTTTGACCGTTGTTTGACTAATAAGGTGTATACCCATATTAAGTAGAATATATAAATGATACACGCGTAGAGATTGTTTGGAAATCAATTCATATACGCAGCGACGCGTGGCGATTATTTTTTACTGCCTACCCCGCATACAATGAAAAACTGTGTAGGCAGCTCACCCTCCTAGGATTAGCTGAAAACTGTGTAAGCAGTTTAGTCCACTGGGTACCAGAGTTCCCGAAGTGTATATAAAGCGATTTTCATTTACAGCCTACCCCGCATACAATGAAAAACTTTGTTTATTTGACACGTGCAATTCCCATGAAACGCAGGTAATCTGATTTATGAGAAGTTCCCTTTACCTAATTAACTTTAAGCATGCTGATTGTTTGCTTTCAATTGGTGTCTGTATTTTTTTTCCACACCACAACATAATAATACGAAAACATAAATCTCACAGGCGCGTGATTATTACCAGGTTGCATGCAAAGTTTTAGCTTTCACATAACGGTTATTGAGATACAGATTTTTAAAGTTAGTCACGACTTCTGGAGCAGACTATAATCGGGCAAACTGGCACGCTGTCCAATCCTATCTTGCCGCCAAAAAGATTATACCCAGCATCTGTTGGCCAGGTAACGGCGCCCACACACTCGATTCTGGACTAAAGACACAATATCCCTTAAAGCGGTTTAGATTTCAATGTTTAGCAGGTCCTGGCTCAGAAAGAATTCAGAGTATTGCCGCTGATGGATCACTTGGCCAACTCCCGCCATCTGTTGGGGAGTGGGCACATATTGAACCCTGCATTTAGTTTCGGAGATCTTTGGTCACGCAGAGATTAGAATGCTTAACTTGTGGCTCGCGAGATATAGGTTTGAGTTTGGGTGCCAGGCTGGCACAGTCTAAACATAAATAATATGAAATGTAGCAGCAACAATATCAAGAGTAAAAGAAAAAGAAGAAGAAGAAGAAGAAGAAGAAGAAGAAGAAGAAGAAGAAAAAGAAAAAGAAAAAGAAGAGAAGGAAGAAGAAAAAGGAAAAAAGAAGAAGAAGAAAGAAGAAGAAGAAGGAGAGGGGAGGAGAAGAAGAAGAAGAAGAAGAAGAAGAAGAAGAAGAAGAAGAAGAAGAAGAAGAAGAAGAAGAAGAAGAAGAAGAAGAAGAAGAAGAAGAAGAAGAAGAAGAAGAAGAAGAAGAAGAAGAAGAAGAAGAAGAAGAAGAAGAAGAAGAAGAAGAAGAAGAAGAAGAAGAAGAAGAAGAAGAAGAAGAAGAAGAAGAAGAAGAAGAAGAAGAAGAAGAAGAAGAAGAAGAAGAAGAAGAAGAAGAAGAAGAAGAAGAAGAAGAAGAAGAAGAAGAAGAAGAAGAAGAAGAAAAAGAAGAAGAAGAAGAAAAAGAAGAAGAAAAAGAAGAAGAAGAAGAAGAATAAGAAGAAGAAGAAGGAGGAGGAGGAGGGGGGAGAAGAAGAAGAAGAAGAAGAAGAAGAAGAAGAAGAAGAAGAAGAAGAAGAAGAAGAAGAAGAAGAAGAAGAAGAAGAAGAAGAAGAAGAAGAAGAAAAGACAAAGAAAAAGGAAATTGTGATGGTAGTAATAGTACTAACAGCAGCAGTTGTATGATGATGACGATGATGATGATGACGATAATAATAATAAAAAGGTTTTATATAAATCCCCTATTCGAACTGGCTATAAAAAGTAAAGGCACACACCCAAAATCTCTCACAAATAAACCCGTTTTTTTGGGTTTTCCCCCACTGCCATAAAAATTGGAACCAGAATCACGAAAGAAAAATAACCAAGAAAGTCAATATGTATTACAGTGACAACTTAATGAAGAGAAGGTGCCCGTTTTCTGGAACAGGGTTATATTCATTAGTGATATAATACGTTCTGGAAGACAAAGAAAGTGTTTTGGTCACGCGAGTAGTGGTCGGTCAATAAACAGTGATTTTGGTAGAGAGACAGCATTAGGGTCAGCGACAGTGAAAGATGTTGTGTCTGTCTGACTCGTTCAAACAGTAGCAATTCATGTTGTACTTCTAGCCCATGCGTAGGTGACGGAACGTTGCACTCATGCCCCTTAAACGCCCCCTTCCCGCCTCAACATACTTGTAGGGGAGGGGTAATTTATTATAAGTATGTGAAGTCAGTACATTATTATTATTCTCTTAATCTAGGATTACACCCTTGAGGCCTCTACATCGCCTATAGTTTGTAAGACAGCTGGTTGGGGTGGGGGGGGGGGGGGGAGCCAGGATAGGGGCCGACGTGCCACTCTCACAATGTTTTCTTGGTGTCGCCTTCATAATAAAGCCCACATCTGTTTACTAGTCGGCGTCTGTGGCTCAGGCGTTGCAAACGCGCTTCGTAATTCTGGGGTGTCAGGTTCGATTCCAGCTGCACGCCATTTGACATTAGACCGCTTCGTGTTAGGTTTATCAGTTACATCGAGAGCTGATCGCCAAGAAAGCAATGGCGAATTACTGGACGTAAATCTGATTAGAAAGCCCACTATAACAACAACAACAACAACAACAAATACAAAAAATACTGGGGTTGGTTCTGTAACGTCCTGGAAAGACAAACAACTAACTATATTTTTACAAAGGCTGATGCAAGCACTGGAAACGGGAAAGTTCCGAAGAATTCTGTGCTGATGATACAGAGACGACATCACAAGTGACGAGGTTCTTGATTACCCAGCACATTGGCAAACAATGAACTTCTTGAAACTACCGTGAAATGCTGAAAAAATGCAATGGTATCGATATGTAATAAGATCTAACGGCTTCTAAAAAACACACGATACTATAGGGATCAGTGGAGGGAATAAGAAGAAATAAAAGGGAGATCTGGTTACAAAACGTGACAAACCGAACAAGTTTTAGACACATAACCATGAAGTCAATCGCATGTGACAGTCGAAGGTGGAGGGAGTTGATCTGACAGACAACAGCAACAGGTGACCCAACAACACGTAGTTTCACGGGATGATGATGATAATGATGATGTCTTCAAACGACCTGAGTACCCACCCACTCAACACCTTAATACCTACCCCTAGTGTGTATCTGTTAGCATCATCATCATCAGGTGCCCTGCCAACTGGCGTGGGCGATCATGCCTCTCCACAATCTACGATCTCGTGCAGCATCTCCATGCATTTTGAGGCATGATTTACTAGGGATAATACAGCGGTGGTTTCCCCTTGACCTTCCGCCGGTTTGTAAAGGTTTGAGAGAGGGGGGAGAGCTTAGGGCGCCTCTTACCCGCCGATGGCCATGTCGTAGAGTTTTGAGGTATTTTATAGAGTTAGCTGTCCCACCAACTAACTCGCCTCCTCTCAATGACCATCACCTGTTTTGGTCCACGGCCACTTATTCAATATATTCTTGGCTAACCTCTATATCTAGAGGCCTTTCCACCACCCGCCACCTGGTGGATGCGCCTAGAAGTAGGACAGGCTCCTACCCCAGGATCTGTTAGCACATAATTATTTACGTCCTCAAAGTAGTTAAGAATTTATATAAGATTATAAAACAGTCAAAATGTTTCATATCTAGCTTATAAGCAATTTCAAGACTTCATTACAATCATTGAACTAATTATATCAAAATCTATACACTGCACATCCACAGGCAGAATCGAACCACAGCATAGACCACCCACAGCTTCAGAGTTCCCATCAAATTGCTTGACCACTACAGTCCCTGCACAACCTTTCTGGCACACATCGTCACAGAAGCTTCTTGGATCTGCAGCTCAACTCCGGATCATTCAGTCTTTGGTTTAAACCTAGCCTAGAGAACATAAAAAGCGAATTCATTACCAAATTGGCTTTAAGAACACCTGTGCTTGTTAATAAGATTCCTCTGTGATAAAACAGAGAAAAAGGTGTTGATAAATATTTAATATTTTATTTGTGGGAAAAAAAACAACAACAGGGAATTTGAAAGATGGCAATAATGTCTGCTGGTAAAAGGATGCTACCAACTGTGGCGTGTATGGTGGCTGTTGCCTTGGTTCTTGTGGTGGATGTGGTGGCGTCTGAAGAGAGTAGCTATGGACAGACATACCAGGGTCAGGAGGTGAGTACTGCTCGTTGTCTCGTGGGAACTGTCTCGTCTTCTTCCTCTTCTTGGTCGCTCTTTAAAAGCGGTTGGAATCTGGTGTTGTGGTTTACAGCTAAGCTGAGATATATTCTCCTTTTGGCCCAGTGCATCTGAGTTTTGACAAAGCTTAAATTATTCTTCTGATTAGAATGGTGGATGTCGGCGTCTGTGGATTAGTCGTTGCGAACAAGCTTCGTAATGCCGGGGCGCCGGGTAAGATCCCAACTACGGGCCTTGCGCCTTGCGTTGGTTTTGACAGTGGTATCGAGAAGCCGACCGTCCCAAAATCAATGGCAAACTACTGGACGTAAATTTGCATAGAAAAGCCATAACAGCAAAAAAATGCTGGGGTTGGTTCTGCAACGCCCTGTAAAGGATACGCAACTAACTTAAGTATGGTGGATAGTCTGAATTACTATTTTTTTTTAGCCGTAGCAAGTTTTTGCTTCTGACAATAGTTAACTGTTGCATTATCCTCTATATGTGGGCAGAAAGTATATAGTTCCGTTGAACAGCTACAGGGTTGAGTACATGGTGCAACACTGTGAGCTGCAGTTTTATTTGGGATACTTTTTCGAATATGCTGAAAGTGGTTTGTTTTTGTGAACTTCTGATTCAGAAGAAAATGGCGAGTTGTCTGTTGCCAAAAAACTGGTGATGCCTAATGCTGTTAACTGGGTAACTACTACTCTGTTGTAAATGCTGCATCAATCAACGAAGAACTGCATTTCTAGTGTCGGACTGTTTGTGCTGGCATTTCTGAAGATGGCCTCCTGCATTTAAGGCGTGTGTTTTCTACTGGCTTTGCAGTCTGTGGCTGTTTGATTCCCAAGAGACAGTCAAGGATATTCTGTGTGGTTTGTGCTGCCACAGGAGCAAATCAACTTTGGGGTGACCTGTTTGATATGATGTTGTAACTGCCATGACCTGATTACCTAATCAGTCACCTTTTACGACATCCTAGCTAGGGACAGTGAGTCTATCCTGTTGCCTCAAATTGGGCTCTGGAGCCTACACGGGGTGGAGCTGTCTTGTGATTCTTGTGTTTGGGTGTGGGTAACTGAGTTTGATACTGAAGTAACTTTAGTGTTCTCTCGTGGATTCCACGGCCCCATCTTAAAGGATTAAGAACAGACCCACTGCCGCGTAGCAAGCATGCCGTAGTAGGCGACTAATAAGGCATTTCCTTCGAAGCTAGAACGCATCTCTCAGAGCTCGAGGAACCAAGAGTCTGCATAAAATTTCAGACCTGTAAAACTGATGTGCACACAAAACTCAAGATGTAAAATAGATGGAGAGCAGAAATATCACAGACACTGAAAAGTATTATTTGCGAAACGAACAAAAGGGCGGAGAGATTTCTTCTTGTCTTGATGCTGCCGGACATTCCATGAGTAGAGAAAAAATAAGTAGTGGTGGTGGTGGTGGTGGTGGCGGTGGTGGCGGTGGTGGTAGTGGTGGTAGTGGGGGTGGTGGTAAGGGTGGTAGTGGTGGTGGTGGTAGTGGTGGTAGTGGTGGTAGTGGTGGTAGTGGTGGTGTGGTGGTAGTGGTGGTGGTAGTGGTGGTTGTGGTTGTGGTGGTGGTAGTAGTGGTTGTAGTGGTGGTGGTGGTGGTGGTGGTGGTAGTGGTAGTGGTGGTGGTGGTGGTGGTAGTAGTAGAAGTAGTAGAAGAAAAAATATAATAATAATAATAATAATAATAATAATAATAATAATAATAATAATAATAATAATAATAGAAGAAGAAGAAGAAGAAGAAGAAGAAGAAGAAGAAGAAGAAGAAGAAGAAGAAGAAGAAGAAGAAGAAGAAGAAGAAGAAGAAGAAGAAGAAGAAGAAGAAGAAGAAGAAGAAGAAGAAGAAGAAGAAGAAGAAGAAGAAGAAGAAGAAGAAGAAGAAGAAGAAGAAGAAGAAGAAGAAGAAGAAGAAGAAGAAGAAAAGAAGAAGAAGAAGAAGAAGAAGAAGAAGAAAAAGATACTTGAGACGGGCGGACTATGTGTCTTGTTTAAGTCGTTAACAAACGTTGTCCAACAGTGGATTCCATTAATGGAAAAATGCGCACTGTGTCCTTTGTGTCCTGTTTATCTGTGAGGACATATGAGTCCTATTATACTGTGCTGGTAAACCACTTGAAGGTTTGAAGGTTTGAACACCGGATCAACACACGGGTAGTAACCCACAAGTGCTCCGTTCGTCTTCTTACTTAAGTCGGAGTCCAAAGAAGCTCAACACAGAGCACAAGCTCTGTAGCTCCGGCGCGGATCTTGAAATACTTTGGGTAGATTTTTAACTCAAAATTTTGCCCGGGCAGAGCCGTTAGGCTACTGTTTTCGATTACGAAGTGCTAAGGGATTTTTTACGTACGCAGCAATGCACACGGGCGTCCGATCTAACTACCCTAAAACCGGGAAAATTACTATGAGTTCCCCGTGTGAGTTCCCTACTATGGGAAAAACAAGAATAGACCCACTGCCTACCCCAAAAGCATGCCGTAAGAGTCGACTAATTGGGAGTTTCCTTCGAAGTCGGAGTGCATCTGCCTGAGAGGCAAGGAACCAACAGTCTGCACACCCAAAACTCAGGTTCTGGAACATGACTGCAGTCCAGAAGTGGACGAACAACCAGAACCAGAACTTTCCGCCGGAGTTTACAGCCGGTGATCGAGAAGAAGAAAAAGAAGAATTACTATAAGTCGAAATCCACGTGAAAAAATACTACCCTTACCGGGGATTGAACCTGGAACCTCTAGCACTCGAGGCGGACACCATGCCTCGAGACCACGCAGCCCCGTTGGTCAGCCACTAACAGCGCACAACTAGCTAGAGGGTTATGAAATGATAAAAGCTGGGGTCAGTAGACGTAGGCTAGCTTTGAACCACAATATACGTAATTACCTGCACAATACCAAAACATAACAAGCAACCGATGGCGACCTGGCTCGGCTACCTATCATACCAACATGAACAAAAATGGATGACTAGGCATGGCAGAATGTTAAGCTTCAAAGTTATTTTCGCTTCGGACAGGGCTTTGCTAATGCAGTTTCTATATATAGATGGAAGTCTACGGTTTCGTGCCTAAGCTGCTGGGGGAAATGTTTGGTGCAGCACTGTGAACTGTGTTTTTCATGCGCAATGCCTTTCATTTGTGCAGCGGCCGAGTTTTAGTATTCATATGACCGTTAACCGGTTTACATGTGGGCTGGAGAAATAACTTATGAAATATTTTTACGAGTGTACTTTCAGTAACGACAAGCTGCATTTCTGGTGGCGACTGTAGGCTTTGGCACCTCTAGTAACTGCCTTATGCATTTACTGCATACACATATTTCTGTTTTATGTCGGGACTAACTGTTTGTTTACCAGAGTTTTAAATGGGGTATTGAATGATATAGATTTTCACTGGTACATGTGTGGAGCATTTTTGTAATGACCCGACTGCATTGAGGTTGAAATCTTGACAACGATTAGGACATCCACGTTTGCTATAATAATATCCTACCCCAAACAGGGGAAATCCACAGGTCACAGGACAGTCTTATATTTCAGGGGGTGGCAGGTAGGCTGCATGCAGTCGTGGATACCTAGTCTGTACTGTCTCCTGGGACGTGGGTTAGTTGGGGCTGGAGCAGTTCTGGATGTTTTGGGGTCGTTAAAAGCACCAGAAAGCCGGGAAACCCAATCTTACTACCCTCTAAAATGTTGGACTCTCCTGTAGAGTCATCTGGGTTAGGATATTGATAAAGAACCCATCTACGACCTATCATTCGTCGTTAAACGAGAAACACGAGACAGATACTGGCAAAAAAGACATAAGAAGAAGACAAAGAAAACTACTAAACTAGATATAATAAGTTAGATTTCGCAGTTGGAGATTTGTTGGATAATAGTCGTGAATATGTAAAACATTTCATATAAGATTATCTTTACTAATCAGTCAGTCAATCAATCAAACAACCATACATAATTCATCAGTCAATTAAATATCTAATTAAATAATCATGAGGGAATAAAAATCATGAACCAATCGACTAATCAATTATCAGTCAATAATCGGTCAATCCTTTATCAATAAATCCAATTACCAGTCACTTAACAACCAATCAGTCAATCAGTTATAAATCAATAAACCATCTCATCAATCAATCATCAGTGAATGAAAAAAAAAAAATCAACCAATCGACTAATCAATTATCAGTCAATAATTGGTTAATCATTTATAAATAAATCAATTACCAGTCCCTTAACTATCAATCAATCAATCAATCAATCAATCATCAATCAATCATCATCAGTCAATCAATCAATGAATCAACCGTCCAGCATATACTCTCTTGGTCTCCCTCTGCCTCTTTCCCCCTCCAACTTTCCCACCGTCACGATTTACTGCAGTTCTTTTTCTTATCACATGACCAAAGAATGTAGATTGTCCCTTTCTGATGTGGACAATCAGTTCTCTTCATGAGTCAGCTTCTGTGCAAACATCCGTACAGCGTCTGTCCAAACATCCGTACAGCGTCTGTCCAAACATCCGTACAGCGTCTGTCCAAACATCCGTACAGCGTCTGTCCAAACATCCGTACAGCGTCTGTCCAAACATCCGTACAGCGTCTGTCCAAACATCCGTACAGCGTCTGTCCAAACATCCGTACAGCGTCTGTCCAAACATCCGTACAGCGTCTGTCCAAACATCCGTACAGCGTCTGTCCAAACATCCGTACAGCGTATGTCCAAACATCCGTACAGCGTCTGTCCAAACATCCGTACAGCGTCTGTCCAAACATCCGTACAGCGTCTGTCCAAACATCCGTACAGCTTCTGTCCAAACATCCGTATTACTTAAAAAAAATATATATTTAGGGTAATCTTATTATTCGTCTATGAAAGCACATCTCCGTAGCTTCCAAACAGTCTCCTCCTAATCATCCAGCTGTCCATGATTCACTTCCATATTTCAGGATAGGTTTTATGAAGTTACTAACCATTTTCTTTTTTGTCTTATCTGACAAAGAAATTGCATAGAATACTCTTCATTTTGTACAACGCTTGCCTTTGTTTGAGCTATTGTACATTTAACTTTTAGAATACATCTTCCATCTGAAATTATCAAGGTACCCAAGTACTTAAACGCATCAGTTTGTCTGAGGATTGTACCTTCAACTTCGATACTGAATTTTGGAGGGGTTCAGTTCCTTGTAGTTACTACATCTTCTGGTTTTTTGTTATTGAATGTTCTTCAAACTAAGACCCCTGTTTGGACTTGCTGTTACAATTATCGAAGCTTATAACGGTGTTAAAATCAACGCCAAATCACCTACAGCTAAATCAATATTATGATGCAGTAATTACCAAACTGCGTTCATAATTCTTATGCTACAGAACAATTAACATGTACTCAAGTGTCGATGCCATGCGGCTTGGACGATGCCAACGTGCTTGTAAATCTGAAATACCCAGTTCGATTCAATCTGCCCGTGATTTGGCAGCAGACCAATTTACGTTGATTTCGAGAGCAATTTTAACGCCGATCGCTGGTGATCGTAGCCGGTGCTACGGTGTTCGTGCTTTTTGCGACGCTCTTAGAAAGACCTTTTGTATTTCAGAGAGAGACCGGTCTGTTTGGGATAAAACTCGGTGCAATGGAAGTCGATTCTCTCGACTTTAACCTTTAGCAACGGCGGTAGGCAAAAAAGCCACATTTCTCGCAGATTTACGATACCTATCATGGAATCAAGGCCGAAGGGTTGCGATAGCCATGGTACCAAGCTAAAGGGTTTACATCTTATGGTTTCTGGATACTAAAAAAAAAAAAAAAACCCAAATGTGTGTTTAAAAAAAAAAAAAAAAGAATTCTTACAAGGGCACGATTATTAACGGCTTGCATGCCGAATTTCAACAACTTATACTTAACGGTTATTGGTTACATATTTTTAATGTTGGACACGACATCTGGAACGGATTATAGCTCTGGTTTCACAACTTTCTGTACTGGACACACAACAAACCTGTGCCCAGTTATTCATCATCATCATCATAAACCACTTCTGCCGTTAAGCGACATGGGGAGGAATAATGTGCGATCCAGTGCACGCTGGTTGCCACTGGCTATTGTCATGCTATGAAGACTTAGAGTGTCTTTAATGTTGTCGATCCATTTTTTCAGCGGCTGTCCTCTTGCTTTTGTAGCTGATCATCTGAGATATAGTGCTTGTGATAGTATTTGATCTTGCGTCATTCTAACGAGTTGGCCAAACCACTTGATCTGCCGTTTCTCATTGAATCAAGTACAATGTGTCGTTCCCACAATTTGCATGAGAGCGTCGGTCACTCGATCTCGGATGGTTAGGTTGGCTGCTTTTCTCAGGCACCTCAACTCGCAGGTGGTGATTTGCCTATATGGGCTTTAGATAGTGTCCATGTTTGGCACTGGTAGCCTAATGTTCGATTGGATATGCTGTTTAGAATCTGTCTAATTGCACTCATAGTTATGCTTTGATGTCTTTATAATGCCTATTTATTTCTATTACATAAATGGAGACTGAAAGAGAACAGTTAAAGTACAGAAAAGCCAAGCATATGCTATAGCTCTTGAGATCACAAATTTGGATACACGGAAGACTATGCAATGCTTTTGTTACTAATTAGAAACGTTAGTACAGGGGTCGCTTGTATTGGAGAGAAAACGTTGAGTTTGTACATCTGTCACATATCACTCCTGTCACGTGCCTGATTTAAGGATTTCTTCTTCAGAACTAACAGCACTCAGAAATAATTATGTTGAGTCGTTTGGCTCGTATTGGTCTAAGGGATGCCCCGTGGCCAATATACGCTCAACTTATTTCTGGAGTAGGGCAACTCAAGTTTTGGCACTACAAAATATATCTGTATATGAATACAATATTCCTAGGCACACTTGGCTGGACACCCCCACTACTATAAAAAGAAAGCTCCCAGGTTATGATAGTTTACTATCATAACCATGTTAACACATATAATATTTAAGGTTCATACACACAACAATGCTAAACACTTAGAACGGTGAAATAGAGACACCAGAGTCAGCCATGAAAATGAATGCATGTAATCAATACAACATATACATAAAATAGTGAAGTGGACACCAGATCTCAGTGGATGGATCCCAGAATACAATGACCAGACTCAACAGAAATCTAAACAGCCAGAAAGTCCTGGATGTAACACTGTCTCATCCTTGGAATCCATTGGAGCTGTGGGGAATATAGCATGACATAGAATCAAACTGGCACTTATCCTAGTTCTACTGTTGATGCTTCCCTCAGCTCCTGGTGATTCGACTGTCTTTGACTCTGGTACTTCTATTCAAGTGGATCAGGTAGTAGAGGAGTACTTCACCATAGAGGACACAGCAACTGTATAGGTACTCAGCAAGTCTCTCCCACCGGTCAGGTCACAATACTGTCTCTGAGTTACACCAAGCTCCTGAAGACTGGTCTACTCGAGTATGTATATACTCTCTAGAAATGTTCACCTGCTCTGGAGTTCACTCACATGCCCTAGCACTGTTAGGATGTTTGGGGTATATGGCACCCCATGATGATGATGCCAGGTACCTTCACTGGTGTTAGCTGGTGGGTAGTTGGTTGATAGTTGGTTGGTGGTTGCTTGATAGTTGGTTGGTAGTTGGTTGATAGTTGGTTGGTAGTTGGTTGGTAGTTGGTTGGTAGTTGGTTGGTAGTTGGTTGGTAGTTGGTTGGTCTGTGATTATTCTGCCAGCTCTTCACAAAGGTTTCATCCCAAGCATAGGAAAAGTCCTAGACACTACAGGCCGCCTTCTCAACGTGAAATTTACTGAGGCGTCTATGAGTACATCTGAGCTCCAGGAAAGCCGGCAGAAACAATGCCCGCACAAATTCAAGTTAGGCGTCGGTAAGAAGAAGTTCCTTATATACATGAGCAAGGAGTAAACCGGTTTCCAGGAGTATTCAAATAACTCCAGCAATATTTATCATATAGTTGCAAATTTGAAAATGACGCTAAGTCAAAGCAACTAGAAGATGTAGACATTATAATTTTATCCGATAAAGGCATATATCGATATAAGGGACTATATACCTTTCCGGACGAGTCCAAGTTTGAAAGTTTTGTCGAGCACAGGTAATACAGGTCCCGACTCTTTTACGGTAATGTGTAACGGCTTGTCATTCCTTGACAACATCAATCCTTTATCCTTGGCAACCTGTTTCCATAGTAAACAAAATTAATTGACTTGCTTCCTTCTGTCAACGTACACAAATAAAAAGGAAAAATTAAGGTACACATAAGCTTCTTTTGCAAAATCATGATTAATGTTTACTGAAACAGTAAACATTAGACTCTTTTGAATATAAACATTAACAGCCAGTATCGGGCATGTAAAATATTTAAGTAACAAAAAGACGCATTGGAATGTAAACATTAATAGCTGCTTGAGTTGGACGTGTCAATATTTGAGTAACTTGAAAAAAAAACTTGTTAAGTCAAGGACTTTTTTTTATAAGCCAGTGACGCAGGTGGGAAATTTTTTGATGTTCCTAATTTTTTTAACTCTTGTTCGGGAGGAGGTGGTGCAGAAAGAGGACGAGAAGCAGACAAGAAGAAGAAGTAGGAGGAATAGATAGGAATAAGAAGAAGGAGGAGGAGAAGCAAAAGAAGAAGAAAAAGAAGAAGAAGAAGAAAAAGAAGGAGAAGAAGAAGAAGAAGAAGAAGAAGAAGAAGAAGAAGAAGAAGAAGAAGAAGAAGAAGAAGAAGAAGAAGAAGAAGAAGAAGAAGAAGAAGAAGAAGAAGAAGAAGAAGCAACAGAAAAAGAAGAAGAAGAAGAAGAAGAAGAAGAAGAAGAAGAAGAAGAAGAAGAAGAAGAACAAGAACAAGAAGAACAAGAACAAGAACAAGAAGAAGAAGAAGAAGAAGAACAAGAAGAAGAAGAAGAAGAAGAAGAAGAAGAAGAAGAAGAAGAAGAAGAAGAAGAAGAAGAAGAAGAAGAAGAAGAAGAAGAAGAAGAAGAAAGAAGAAGAAAAAGAAGGATAAGAAGAAGAAGTAGAAGAAAGGGACGAGGAAGCAGAGCAAGAAGAAGTATATTTCCCACCTTTTCTCCCCCATCGACCTATATCTACCCCGACATCACAACCAGACCTTGGTTTCTTATTACTGTATCTGTGACACTGCAACAGACTAATGCTCTAATCCTTACCCATAATCCTCCACAGGCCAGTCCAGTCACATTCCCAGACGCAGAAGGCAGCGGGTTCCAGGGTGCGATACTCAACAAAGGGGACATCAAACGAGAAATGATTCGACAGCTCCTCATTCTACAAGAAGCTGAAGAAACTATACGTAATAAAATACGTGAACTCCAAGCAGAGAAAAGGGCTATGTCCAACCGGAAGCGCAGCCATTACAACAGCATGTGCATGTTTAATGTCGTGGCTTGCTACCGGAAGTGATAGATTGCCAAGTGGCCAGTTTTGTTTTTCTATTTTATTCATGTTTATTTTTGGTCCATTTTCTGTTACAGAAATAAAAATAATTTATTTAAGTGTAACATTATTTTGTACTTGATTTTTCTACCCTTCTCTACATCATCTGAACTAGTTTATTTATTTGTTATTAACATGTATTGCTTCAAAACGTTTTCCAGCTTTTAGCGTAAGTAAAGGATTCTTTTCAACGCCTTCAGGCTTATTAGGCATATAGGGCTAGATCTATATTTTATAGACCAATCAGCACTTGGTGGGTGATGACGTCAGCATTAGACCGGCCGTCTTTATTTCCTAGGACTTTACCTGGTACCCATTTAAGACTGGGTCAACCAGGGAGCCATAGTCATTTTTGAAAATATCCGGCTCTATCCTTGCACTCACAACGTTCGGAGCCGCAGGCAAGCGTCTAGCCACTACGCCCAACTGTTAGAGCAAGAGCCCAATTCATTTAGCTATTTTACCCGTACATTTTGGGAGTTTATTGCGAGGTAAGTTTTGTGAAAGTAATTTACAAACTCGTACAGGCCAGGATAACACATAGTGCATTAGGTCAGTATTTACTGCTGCAATTACTGGTGCTTGAATAAGTTGTTAGTAGGTTAAACAAGGTACATGGGACTAACCTTTTGAATTGACATTCAACATGTGATTCTGCGAGTGGCAGGGGTTTCAACGTTTCAGGTAGCAGTATAAAGATAAGAAAAACCAGTCAGTTAACAGCAACAATAAGTTCACTGTTTACATCTAATAAATGAGGTAAGTTTAATCCCACCAGGACCACACAACAAGCGATAAACACCCGATACCCTGTTTAACAACAGCCGGTGCTTTAAAATAAAAAAAAAAAAAAAAAAAAATTCGCCCCATCTAGGTTTTGATGTTTCCAATCGCCTTACGTTATGGCAGTGATTAAAATAATTAACTCGTAGAAATGCTGGCGAAAAACGAAACAAAACATTGACTGTAAAAAATGATGGACATAAAACAAAAACAAAAGCTGACTTGTGGAGTTACAACAATATGTATTTAAGGAGTCACAACACCAACATTTTTTTTTTTTTTTACAATGGTCATTAGAAGGGATACATGTTATTACATTTGCATACTTTAAGTATAAAAAAATTATGGTTGTCATGGCAATAGCCGCCATCTTGAAAAAACACACATGCACTTAGAATCCTAAAATTTCAAAAACAAACATACGTATTAAACAATAGATGATCAATTCATTACCTTTAATCCTATTTAGAGGTACAGGTGTAGTTTATTTACTTTAAACATGTTTTTAAATATTTTTCGTAGAATTTTAAAATGTACGTTTATTAAAAAAAGTCAACACAATCTTGCATCATAAGACAATAATCAAATTTTGAAAAACAAAAACTTTAAAAAATCTACTTTTAAAAAGACCAGTCCCCATAATATTGTTTGAGTATTCATACAAAATTTCATGTTTGTAGTCTTTATATTAACTGAGATTTTAGGATTTCACACACACATCAAACAGAAATATATAGATGTGAGAAAACTGACTTTTAAACTTTTTTTAATCCTAAAAAGTGCATGGGTTGGTGCCTGTAGTATTAACTTTTCAATGCTAAATTGTTTACAGATGACATAAATTTTGTGTGTAATCTATTCTACGAATGCCGATATTTACAAAAACGAACACATTGAAAAAGTGATATTTTTGTCATAAATTGAAAAAAAAATGCCGTGTAGTGACCCCTGAAACTAATCTTCAAGAATTGAATATTGAAGAGGGTTGGCTATTAAAGACGATAAAACAGAGAAAACATAAATATTTTGGTCACTAGAAACGTCACGAAAGTGTGGAGAGAACAATAATTGAGGGGTTTATGCCTGGAAGTCCAGAAAGCAATGGCAAACTACTGGACTTAAACTTGCCTAGGAAAACCACAACAGTCAAAAAATGCTGGGGTTGGTTCTCCAACGTCCTGAAAAGGTTACGGAAATAACTTTTTCTATGCCAGGAAGGAGAGGAAAAGGAAGGCTAAAGAGAAGATGGTTGCAGGACGGGGCGGATGATCTCCAGATGGGTGCAGGACGGGGCGGATGATCTCCAGATGGGTGCAGGATGGGGCGGATGATCTCCAGATGGGTGCAGGACGGGGCGGATGATCCCCAGATGGGTGCAGGATGTGGCGGATGATCTCCAGATGGGTGCAGGATGTGGCGGATGATCTCCAGATGGGTGCAGGACGGGGCGGATGATCTCCAGATGGGTGCAGGATGTAGGGGGTGATCTCCAGATGGGTGCAGGATGTAGGGGATGATCTCCAGATTGGTGCAGGACGGGGCGGATGATCTCCAGATGGGTGTGTCGGACGCGGGACATCTGGCTTGTTGTGATCGAGAAAATTGTTATGGGAGAAATGTTCTGCAAAGGTCATGCAACTTACTGACTGAAACTGGACCTGTAGTTTCAAATTCTTGATGCTCGTAAAGTGTAGCAGGAACAACCTCAAGCGCTTTCTTAGCCATTCTAAGTGGCGTAAGAGACATTCATAGGTCTCTTCCTCCAGTAAAACACGGATACATCGCCCTGACAATTCCATAAAAGACAGATTTATTTGAACACCCCTTCCCTACACAATCATTTGTTGTGTCTTTTGTCCAAACACATATTATTCCATTAAGGCCGCTTGCCCCATATAGTAAAGACCCCTTCATGCCTACTGGGTACTCATAATTTTTCGGTTAGCGATGTGGTCAGCCTCACGCCAGCCGCCTTTACTTCCCAAGACCTTACCAAGCACCCATTTAAGCGTGGGTCGACCTGGCTGCCAATGCCATTTCCTCAAAACAATAGGACTGGCTGAGTTCAGATTTAAACCCATGACTTTTGGATAAACAGGCAAGAGTCTAACCGCTACCCTATAATGCTCCCTATTAACCCATCATGTCTATATATATTTTAAAATGAATATGCCCATGAACAAGATTGTAGCAGTTAATTATGGACAATTATCAGCTCAGTGTAAACTTGTGTGGAGGGCATCAAGATTTTATTTAATACAGAACAGTGGAGAGCAAAGAGTGCAGAGTTAAACAGTTTAAAAAAAAATTTAATATAAAAAAAATCTTGTGTAAATTATCTCATAACAACAGCTGTTAACTCTCATTATAAGTAGAGAGAACACATTCTCTATGTACACCTCTAGAAAGGGTTAACTTGAATCCATAGCGACAACGGGAAAGTTGCAGAGGAGGAGAGGATGAGAGAGACCAAGAGAGAATAAATATGTTGCTATTGAAGCATAAACATGATGTGACTAGTGTTAATATCTGTGAAAAAAGAGACAGAGGAAGTCAACGCGAGACGTTTCTCGGCAGCCTTTTGTCATGACATAGAGGTCTGTCAGCTCAGCACACGAACTGATGATACATGTTGTTGGTGGTCGCAGATTGGGAGCTTCACCATATAACAGACACAAAGAAAACGTGAACGTTGCGGCTATGGGGCATTCTTCAGCGAATACATAGAATAGACAATACTACAAAAATACACAATATCACGTATCTTCGTATCTCCTGTCAGTCGGGTCGATGTCAAGACAATGGTCAGGTAAGTCACGTGGGGCCTTGAAAAGGGATATCAGGGGGGATTAGCCAGGGGCCGTCACTCCAGCATAAGATGAAACTGTGTAGGCAGTGCAGCCCCCTAGGGTTGAGATGACGCTGTATTATAGCATAATAGGGGAAGAGAGAGCTGCAGCGACCAGGAAATAATAAATCTGACGGCACTGCAGCATGGACTGACCACTAAATTCTGAGTTACTAGCAGTATATAAGACACAAGGTTGTGGAGCGACTATGTCTGTCGTAATACAGCATGGGCTGCAGGAAGAAAATACAAACACACAAAATGAACAAGCTACAAGACAGAACAAGTGAGACTAGCAACTGAGGAGGACCAATAATTATTTTGACATTTAGTCTCTGAAACTTTTTTTTTTGGTAAGCAGTTGTAAACTGACATAAGCTGTAAGTGTCAACAAAATCTTGTTCTCCTTATTTTATCCCACTGTTTAAGAATGTAATGCAAAAAGTGTTTACTGCAGGCATCAATGTAAGTGTGTGTGTATTTGTGTGTGTGTATTGTGTGTGTGTGTGTGTGTGTGTGTGAGAGAGAGAGAGAGAGAGAGAGAGAGAGAGAATTCAACACACAAACTGTCTAGTGTAACCGTCGATAGAGGGGAGAGACATAAAGTAATAGACACATAAAGTAATAGACACATAAAGTAATAGACACATAAAGTAATAGACACATAAAGTAATAGACACATAAAGTAATACAAACATAAAGTAATACAAACATAAAGTAATACAAACATAAAGTAATAGACACATAAAGTAATAGACACATAAAGTAATAGACACATAAAGTAATAGACACATAAAGTAATAGACACATAAAGTAATAGACACATAAAGTAATACAAACATAAAGTAATACAAACATAAAGTAATACAAACATAAAGTAATAGACACATAAAGTAATAGACACATAAAGTAATAGACACATAAAGTAATAGACACATAAAGTAATAGACACATAAAGTAATAGACACATAAAGTAATAGACACATAAAGTAATAGACACATAAAGTAATAGACACATAAAGTAATAGACACATAAAGTAATAGACACATAAAGTAATAGACACATAAAGTAATAGACACATAAAGTAATACAAACATAAAGTAATACAAACATAAAGTAATACAAACATAAAGTAATAGACACATAAAGTAATAGACACATAAAGTAATAGACACATAAAGTAATAGACACATAAAGTAATAGACACATAAAGTAATAGACACATAAAGTAATAGACACATAAAGTAATAGACACATAAAGTAATACAAACATAAAGTAATACAAACATAAAGTAATAGACACATAAAGTAATAGACACATAAAGTAATAGACAC